GAGTTTGTGCTGTTTAAAAGTGGTCTGATTTCCTTTCCGTTCTGCCCCGACACAGAAAGACCCAGGAGCCTCGGGAGGCGCGGTGCCACGGAGACAGAACGGGAAAGTGTTTTTAGGTAAGATTGTCCTTTCAGACACTAAACCCTCACCTGAGGGAGACAGTCTCTTCAGGGCAGCTGAGGGGCCAGAATCACAGTTCTCCTGTGTCTGTGCTCCAACTTAAATACCGTGGTAGCTCAAACGGGGCGATGAAGTCTGGAGAAGAGTTCTCTCGTTCCTGAAATACTCGGGAGTCAATCACACAGCCCCGAACAGGAGGTCGGGTGGGGGAAAGGATCCCGAACCGGACCTCCTGCCGCCGGGGGAGTGGGATCTGAAGAGGGGCCGGGGGCAGCAGGCAGGGCGGCGCGCTGGGGCTGTTTGTACACAACAGGTGGCTCTGTGGGGCAGAGGCCGGGATGCGTCTCGCTGCCCCTGTGTGCCAAAGCGCTGGATTCCCATGTTAAGGGACGACTGCCCCCCTTTTTCCCTTTGGCTTCGTGGCTAAATATAGCCCGATTATTTTGTGTATCTAGTTGGTAGGTGTTCTGTATCTAAAAGCGACACATGCCCAGCCGGGGCCCCTCCCTCCCTGGCAGAGGGGTTGGTTTACAGTGGGCCGTCCCCGGGCCCCTGCCGCCCCCCCAGCTGCTGGCTCCTGTCAATCCCAGCTGACACGCTGGTCTTGGTTGGGTGACATGAGCGACTCGGGCCAGATGGCATCCGCTCTGCTGACTGCAGCTCAAATTAACAACACAGTCTCCCTTTCTTCCTCGAGGAAGAGAGGCTATTGGGTGTCCAGGCCCGCCCCCCCCCATCACTAAGCCCACAGAAGCGCAGGCTGTGTTCATCTGGAGCGTCTATCGGCTGACTTGGCCCCCTCGATAGAGGCGGTGACTCAGCGCCGCAGAGCCGATCGAACCCTGTTTGGATGTGCCCGCCGAGCGCAGACGTCCTGATCTGTGTCCGGTCGAGTGCCTGTGCTAAACACATCCCGTTCCCCTTCCTGCCATGTCCGGGCAAGCAGGCGCAGGCCTCTGGCTGCTCCGCTGGTGCCACAGTCGCGACTCAGCCCAGCTTCAGCTGCGATCTGATCACAGCGGCGCAGCTCGGGAGCCTCAGGCACGCCAGCAAAACACAGACAGGAAGGGATTCGCTGGCCGGTTGTGTTTCCAAAGTGTCCCGGCCCATTGGACCCCCTGTTGAAACCTGCGCCTCTTGTGTTCAGTCAAAGTGCTGCACTGCGCTGCCGGTCTCGGGTTTCAGGCTGGGGTTTGAGCAGGGAGGGTTCAGATGCTGCGGGCTCCCAGCTGGCTCCTCTCCCCTGTTTACTTCCCTGTCCTGTCCGTTGCGCAATCCTGTGTCCCTGGCTGAATGTATTCATCATCTTTTGTCTTTTTAAAGAGGACGTAGACCTCAGCTGCGATTTTAACGGAGACGATTACGAATACGAGGACGAGGCCAAACTTGTCATATTCCCAGACCACTTCGAGATCCCTTTGCCCAATATTGAGGAGCTGCCAGCGCTGGTCAGTGAGTGTGGTGATGACGTCTGTCTGTCGCGCATGCGGAGAGCTCCCTGCAGGTCAGAGTGTGCTGCATGTTCACTTATCAAGGCAATATAGGAGAAACCCACCGACTTCCAGCAGAACATGGGGAGATCACTGGCTTTTCTGTATAGAAACAAGGCGGCGTCTGGTTCTGGGTCAAGTGTCGCCCTCGTGTGGAACGCCGTTGTGCTGGATTTGCAGCTGGTAGATGGAAAAGCAGTGAGAGTGGACGGGACCTCCCTGTCGAGGAGGAAGCCCAGGGTGGGCTGGCCTGTCGCTCCCCGCGACTCCCTCAGGGTGTGATTCAGTTTCTTCACCCCTTAGTGATGGCTACAGTCTATGTAGCTATCACTAAGTGCTCACATCTACATCTACAGCACGTCTCCCTGCAGGGAGCCTTTTCTAACCCTACCCTGCAGTGGCGACCAAGGCTGGAACGCTGTAGACTTAAACAAACACAGCCACAATGCATGTACAAATCCATTAGGGCTTATTGTTATTCATAGTTAATCGTTATATTATATAGTATATGGCCCTGTGGTTCACACACTTTCTTATTTAAAAAAAAAAATCTGAAGGTTCAGTTTCTGTGTCATGGTTTTTATGTTCAACTTCAACTCAAGACTTGGCACAACTACTCATTCCGACCCTGGAGGCCAGGTGGCAGTGAGCCACACTGCAGGGCAGAGGGACACCAGTGGCTCCCTCTAGTGGGAGCACAGGATTATCGCTGGGCATGAATCCTGAGTTGTAAGTGACTCTGGGCCTAAACGTTTCTCCTGAACTCAGCCGGTGC